TGCAAGATGAGAGTTGAAAGAGAAACAGAGATTGAGAACACAAGATCACAGAGATGTAAGATACTATGAGGTCCCAGAGGTGGAAAGAAAAACACTACCTCCTCATTTTCCAAGTTTCCAATACTCACAAGGCCCAGTTGAGGATTCAGAGATCTCTATAATAACTTTCGCTTATTTGAGCTACCCTGAACATATTTTTGCCACCTTCAGTCAAAAAAGCCTTGATAAAACCAATAGTAAAGTATCCACCTGGACAACTATAATGACTGCTCACTATTCTCAATGTAGTTCATTCTGAAACTGTAACCTCCTATCACAATCTCCTTCAGATAGCTTATTCAGATGCCATCCAACCATCCTTTGTCATCAAGTGGGAAGGGAGAACTCAGACATACTACTGAGGAGTATAAACTAATGCAACCTTTTTTAGAGGACAATTTGATATGATCATATTGTAAAATGTATATATTCTCTATTTCAGCAGCCCACCATTGGCAATTATCCCCCAGAGCTAGACAGATGCACAAAAATAAAGTTTGTTCCATGTAACATTTTTGTAATAGCAAAAAATGAAAAATTTTGATTGCCTTTCAAATTCTATACAGTCATTAAAAAGAATGCCATGAAATAGATGTTTACAATATATTGTTAATTTAAAATGCAATTCTCACAATGGTATGTATTGTCTGTCTCTGTCTGTCTCATCTCTCCATCTCCTTCCCTCCCTCTCCATATATATATGTGCGTGCGTGTATGTTTATATTTTTAAAATCATAATAGTGCGCTCAGGAAAAAATGAGGGAACATGCTTAAAAAAGAAAGCAAGTACCATATTTCATTGCTTCAGGGACACATCTTTTTTCATATTTTAACCTCTCTAAAATTAGGATACCTCATATAATCCTTGTCAGTGAGGCAGTGGTTGTGACATAATTGTCATTATGTATGCAACAAAACATGAAGAAGAAGTGCCAGCAGCTTGGGAAAAAACTCATAAGACAATAATGGGGCATTCTTAAGAAACATTGCAATCATCAATTCTCTTAATGGTGAAGAGGAAAATGTATGGAAAAACAGGGACACCGACAAGTCTAAATTGAAAGTTAATTTAGAAGACTCTGAATGTGGAGAGATGAACAAATCCTTAACTAATTTATATCACTTATAATTACCTTTTCTCCTATCATAAAAATGATACGTATACACATACACACATATACTCACACCTATATACATTTTTTCCTTCATAAAAAAAGTATAAAGAAGAAAATTCAAGTGGTCCATAATTATATCACCCACATAATTATTTAAGACATTAAAATAGAGCAAAAAAATAAATCAGCTGTTATTCAGATGCTATATTTTATTTGTCCTCTAGCTGTTAGACTATTGTTATTCATAGATTATTGCCTCTGTTTCATAGGTTAATAACTCTACTTCTAAGTTTGTAAAATCATGTTTCTTACATAAATCTCCAAATTTTAACTGGTTATGATTTAGTTTGCAACAGCATTATAAAGAACAGTTAAATTCCCAGGTTAGCTAACAAAAGGACTACTTAACTCAAAATGCACTTTAACATAATAATTGCATATATAGAACCTATAAGCTGTTATGGACTAAAGTGTGTCACTCCCAAAATTCGTTTTGAAGCCCTAACTCCCAATGCAACTGCACTGGGAGAGAGGGCCTATAAAGAGGTAATTAAGGTTAAGTGAGGTCATAAGGGTGGGGCCCTAATCCAACAGGATTGGTGTTCTTATAAGAAAAGGAAGAGGGACCAGAGCCACCCAGTCTGTGGTATTTTGTTATGGCAGCCCAAGCTGACTAATAAAGGTTCTTTGTAGCATCATTTTAAAAAATTAGACAATGTTTTCAGTTTCAACTTGGGACATCCTCACCTGCTATAGTTCTAGCATCAAGAACAAATATTCCCCTTCATTCCTCTATCTGTTGATCAGTAAAACTGCAAGCATTCTCAGTTCCAACACCTCTGGACTTTTTGGCTTTTGTGTCTTGGCAGTGGGAGTGGAGGGCAGGGATGAAGGCTTTGGGATTGGTGTTTAGTGGAGGTAAAAGCAAGAATCATATGAGGTGGAAGACAGGGAGACAGAAAGAGGAATTAAAGAACTCTAGTGGGATGAGAATGAACACAGGAATCAGGATATTTGGGTTTAAACTGCAACTATGCTCTTTACTAGCTATAAGATCTTTGGAAAGTTATTTAACTTCTCTGTGGTTCAGTTTCTTGGTGTGAGATAATAAAAATAATAGATTCTGCATTAGGTTAAATAAGACAGCATAGATGTAAGGGCAGAGTAAATAAATGATGTTTAAAATCGTTAGCTGAATTAAGAGCCTAGTTGCTCTGATATTCTTATCTATAGTATATATTACTTTTTTAACACAATCTTCCCTCTTAGAGGTATTCAGAAGCAAAGGGTATGATCTTTGAAATCATATAGATCTGTGTTCAAATCCTAACTCTGCCACTTAAAAGCTATATGACACTAGGTAAGTTTGTTTCCCTGAGCTTCAGTTTCAAATTCCTTAAAACGAGGCCAACAACGTTCACCTTACATGGTTTTTAAAGAATAAGTCAGATCAAGTATGTAAAGTGTCTGACCAAAGCTAAGACTTAATATTATAAAGATGTAATTTTCTTCATAAATTAAGAGCATTCTCAGTCTAAATCCCCATTGAATTTTTCATGCAACCTGAAAAGCTATTTTAAAATTCATCTGGAAGAGAAAATACACAAAAATACCCAAATGAAAAAGAATATCAGGAGAATTTTGGTATTTTTTATTTTTTTCAGTATGGTATTAGCATAGGTATAGACAAATAGATCAATGAAAAATAATGGAGTCCAGAAACAGACCTACATGTATGGGGATTTCACATATCACATATTTTGCATATCACATAGATATTATACTTAATAAAGTGTTGGGCCAAGTGGCTGTCCTTAAAAAACATTTAAATTCCTACCTCATTTCATATACAAAAATAAATCCCAGGAGGATTCATATTCTAAAAGTAAAAAAAAAAAAAAAAAACTACCAAAAGAGAAAATATAGAACATTTGTAAGGCTCTAAGAGAGAAAACTCAGACGCTATCACTCTTACTATAAAATAAAGTGCATGTATTATATTCTATATTCTCATATTGCAATTTTCCCATCAGC